GCACATAACTGTAGAAGTATTGAACTCACTGACTTGTGCTTGCCTAATATATGACTTGCAGCAGAGAATCTACCACTTCACTGATGATGTACTCTAATTTAATAATTCTTGTTGTTAATCAATGTGTCTTGTTCATAGTTTGAGTTGATTTCAATTCAGCTGCCTTTCATTGCTTCTTGTTGCTTCCTTGGTGCTAGTGAACCGGGTCTGGTACACTGTATTTCCTCTTTGTCATGATTCTACACAATAGCCGTATTCTCTAAGTTAAACAGCCTGAGTTTTTCTTTTACTATAAAACATTTTCTCTGTCCCCTGAATAATATTTGTATTTTTTTCCCCACGCGCTGTACGTGACAGAATTTAGGAAAACAGAGATGCCAGAGCTGTATGCACTATTCCATCACTGGAGTTGCCAGAATGGTATGTTGAGCGCCTCTCTCCTTTTATTTAGCATCACAGAAGATGCAAATTTTTGGGGGACCACAGCATCACTGTGAGATGTCCTGTTGTGTTTCTTTTCTCCAGTGATTCTATAAACTCTTCAGAGTTTCTGCTTTCTTCAGTGTAGTCCATCATTTTGCATTCATGAGCTGCGTTCCTTGTTGCCGGGTATCTTTGCAGTTAAATTCCTTGAATTGTCGTTTATATGTGAATGGTGTCAACATACTAAACAAGTGAGGCTGCTCTCAGTGACTTCCGCATCCTCATAGTTTATAATTTTTTTTTTATTTTTTCCATTTTCTGTTATCTGGAAGTTTTCACGCTGAAAGTTTGCATAGTAGTGACTTAATTCCACATCACCAATGAAAAATTTGAATACCATAACATAGTCTCAGGTGTTGCAGAACCTGACTTAAAGCTGTCCCGTTAGATGAAGACAGACTGTTGATGGTTGTTAGAAATGGGTCAATAATCAGGTTCTTAACCCATTTAATGTGTCCTCTCTCAATGTTGGGATTGCTATCACAGAATATTATACAGTACTAAATCAAATGCCTTACAACAATCCAAGAATATTACATTTTCAAAGACATAAAATGATATTGACTGGCATTAATTACATTCCTATCTCTTAGTTCTCTGTCAAGCAAATGCCTAAAATATGTGTATTTCAGCTTTTCCATTATTTTACCCAGGACTGATGTTTTGTGAAGTGGCCTGAAGTTACCTAGCCATCCTGCTTGCAAATTTTAATTGGCATAAAATTAACATTTTTGCAGTCTTTAAAAATTTACTAAAGCTGAACATCACAGTTCCTGGGATCTCTGCCACCTCTTTTATGACTCTTGTGGAGAAAGTTGTCCAGGCTTGTTGATTAAATAATGGCTAACATTTCCTCTGGTTATTAAGGGACTTCATCATCTTTCTGCCTTTCAAGGTCATTGTCTTGATTCTTTCTAAATACACAAGAGTGCTCATTAAAAACTTCCTTTATTTCTGAATTATTTTATTACTCAGTTACGGTCTTTTCAAATAATACTTTTCTCATTTCCATATTCTTTGCTTGATTGGAACCATCATAGAAAAAGTCATTATTCCCTTTTTCCCCCATGTTTTATCTTTATGGATATATGTGTGTATGAAAACAAGAAGTTCCCTTTCACATTGCTGGATTTCCACTTATCTCTAACTTCTGTTTTTCTTATCTTGAATTACTCTAGGTATTTAGTCATGTGTGGCAGCTATTTGCTGTGCACTCATCTATCCACCATAACCTCCTCTAAAGCTTATTCATTCATTTCAACCTGGGAATTGAGGATGAAAATCAGCCAAAACAATTACTGTAAATCAGTGCTGGTGTGGATTTTCCAGCTATAAATTTCTAAGGCAATCAATCATACTTTTACATGTAGCTGAAGTCAGAGGGCATGCTTGCTGAGTCAGTGAAGTCATACTAGTGAATTGTATTACAAAAATTGGTAGTTTTGTGAGATTGAGTCTATGGGTCTCAGAAAAATCATACAAATTAGTAATAAACTGTCAATATCAGGTGTCATTTCCTACTGTCAATATAAGCAGCTAAAATTGTTGCAACATATAGGTACATTGGAGGAAAATGTTTTTTCATGATTTTACATGCTACAAGAATTTTGCAGATTCAATGAAGTATGCATATAGTATTTCTACAGACTTGTAAACATCTTCAAAAAAAGAAATAACAGAAAAGTCACATGAACCATAAAATCTCAATAAAATCAGAATTATAAAGCTAATACATCTATAAACACCATCCTTCAATAAATTCAATAAACTAGAATTCAGTTACTGTTATGGATGTGTCTTTGTCTTATAAATTGGTGGGGAATAAAAAAAATCAAGGAAGATTTTTTTTTTTATACATACTAAACAACTAGCATAATTTACATAGCAGCTGTTTTAAATATTTGTTATATGAAACAAGTTCTGTGCTTTGGGGGACAGTTGTTAATAAGATTTAAGGAAGAACCAGCCTTTAAAGTAACAAAGAGAAGTAATTTAAAAACTTGGCTTTCCAATGTCCATTCTTACTACCTATTGCAACTGAACTTTCATACTTATATGCTTCTTAATTAGCCAGAAGTATAATGGCTGTTATTTTACCATCTTCTAAGTCATGATTGAAATTGCCTTCTGAAGGGAAGCAGTGTGGCTTAAGGATCAGGGGTTGTCCCAAGTGTGGCCTTGCAGAATTTTGTCAGGTCCTTTTCTCCCCCTCCTTGTAGGCTATTGTACACAGGTTTGTGTTAGCACTGGAGATCCTCGTGCAGATAACTTTTCCCAAAGACAAATTAAAAGGAGTCAGAATAAGAGAGTAGCTCCTGGAGCCTCTAAATCTACAAATTTCTCAGTAGGGTAAAATCTAATTCCCTGTGTTGGCTCTCCGTGGTTGCCTGGTCCAAGCTCTTCCAGCTTCGCAGCTAGCAGAAGGCCCTCTGCAAAGGCTGGGCGTAGGAGGGAGCTTGGCAGGGACCCTGTGCCCGTGGGGACACCAGCCTTCCTGCTTCCCTTACAAATCTCAGGGCAGCTATGTGAGCCTTTTTACACCGGGTTCAGAGGAGTCTTTTGTAGTTATCAGTGTTGTGATTTTTGAGATGGGGTAGAAGGTAATGTTGAAGTGTATTTAACTTCAGAAATCAACAAAAGTATTTTCAGTTCTCAGTGTTGATGCTGGGTAGGTGGCAGCAGTGCTCTCTTGTGGGTGATTAGAAAACAATGCAATGCAGATGTAGACAAGCTTTATATTCAGTGTTACTGAGCTGGAAGAAACAGGAGAAATATTTTTCAGAAATACTTTTTAGGCTATTTTAATGTCTTGCTGAGTCTTTAATAACCCAGGTCTGTTTTCAAAACTTAATTATTTTATATTCATCTACCTGTATAGATCCAGGACAGGTATAACTGTGCATATTATACAGAAAATGCATCAGTAATGTGTTCATTCACATGTTTTTTATATTAGCTATTTTAAGGAAAACAATATGCTTTCCATATGAAAATCCATAAGTGCTGGATGATCTGTTGACTGTATCCAGTTGTCACATTGCTATACATTTCTCTTCTGTAAAGAAGAAATTTGTTAATCATCTCATATTTTGCCCTATTGATTTTTGCAGGTTTGATTCTTTCTCAAGCACTTAGTGTTGCTGACATTACTGTGTAGCATCACCCAGAGAAGTAGAAACCACTTCAGCCAAAAGCTCCCTTATGACCATTGTCAGTCAGTATCTTCCAATGAATCAGCAGTGTGGGCTTAGGCTGAACACTGCACCTCATTCAGCTTGTCCTTAGATATTTGCTCATTGTCATATTGGGAAACCAATGACTCTCCCTTCTTTTGATACAACAAAGACTCAGAAATTTGCTGCAGTAGTGCATATGCCTTACACAGAGTGCTGCAAGATAATGCATTCCTCCTTTTAAGTTTTGGTCTCTGTAATTGATTATATTAATCTGCCAAGGCAGAAAGAGCAGAAGTTAAATAAATACAATGAGAATTTAAGGACTTTCATATCTCGCTTCTGACTTCTCCACGGAAACTTAACCTTTACTGGGAATTGTAAGACACATGACCTGCTTTATCTTAATAATAACTGCTTTTATCTCATAAAATAAAAAAGCAGTAGAAACTAGCCGACTGGCCCAATGGGCTAAACAGATCAGTTTTTAATCTAGATGGCATAAAAGCCAAAAACATTTTCATTGTTACAGTACATCACAGACTGCTCAAGAATCCTGATAGCTTTACTTCTGTTGTTTTTTCTTTATAAAAAAACCTTAAATATATTTCCCTTCCATATGAAAAATTAAAAACACTTGGCAATCCACATGAAGATACAGAATACTCATTTTAACTGCTTGGATGTCACATCCATTGAAGAGAGCTGGTAAATGCTGCTGAAATGAGGAGAACTTAACCCAATTATTTTTGAATGGCATGTGAATGCTGCAGGTGGGGATACCATTATTAAATGGCATTTGCCGTAAAAAAAGAAATACCCCATGCCCAGGAGAGTCCCTGGCGCTGGCCAATGGGAAATTACTGTACATCGTGTCACCAGCCTCTCACATTTATCTTTTAGGGTGACATACTATTGGCTGCTAGTTAGGCTCTATGGGAGGGATTACTGGCACAGTTTGTGGCTTCCCCTTCAGGTCCTTATTTGGTAGCTGTTGATTGAGCAAGTCTTTCCAGCAGCTGAGCATCTTGACATACATTATTCATTAAGTCCTGGTGTTCAGGAGATATGCATATCCCTAGCTCTTCAGATATTTCTTCAGCTTGGACAATATGTCTTTTCAATGTTGCTTCTGAATGCTTGGAGTTTTACAAATGGCATTTATACAATCAGAAGACCACACAATTGGATTTCATTTCAGTATGCCTCCTGTGTACATAGTTGCTGAGAACCTGAAGATCAGCAAAAAGAATTAGGAGAGAATTTTTCTTGGAAGTCTTTTGCAGTATCAGATAGCAAAGAACTGATTAGCTTAGATTGGTAGTATAGAAAAAAAAATCAAAAATGCCTGAGGCAAACTATTTACTCTCAGTTTCTTGGGGCTACATAAAGGTAGGATTTTGTTTTACCTTTTAAGAACCTTGATTTGTGGTGCATGATTGCATGATTACTGGATAGCATGAATATTTGTGGGTGATATGACTATGAGTAATATGAATATAAAGTAAAAAGTCAGAAAAGCAAGCCTTTGTTCAGCAATGAGAATGAACTGCACAGTATGCAGTCTTTCTTATAAACTATGCTGGGACTTTTAAAATAATGTTGCTTCAGTGCATAATCAGACCAAGTCTAAAACCAAAGAAATTTAGAAGTGTTTTGTGTTATTTTAAAAAAAGATTGCTACAAAACTGTATTTCTAGACATTAAAAGATTTAAAAAAAAACAACCCCTCAAAACTGAGATACCATACAATAGGAGAGAGCATGACTAAAGAGGCTGAGGATAATGGGTGAATGTATGACTCATACTGGTTTTAATAGCTGAAGAAATGTGAAATTATCAACAGTACGTTCCAGCAGCATTTTCTGGTAGCCTCTGTGTGCGCGCGCACGCGTGTGTGTGTGTGACAGCTTATTGATTAAAACACTGGGAGACTGAAAATTGTCATCTTCTAATATTGATCTACATTATTATGTGGAGCAGCTTTGAACTAGCTTGAAATTGCAGTACTGCTAGAAAATGGAATTAAATAAGCTTTTATCTCTTTTATGGAAAAGTTTTGCACCAAGGAATTAAATCAGTATGCCTGTCAACATACAGAATTGAAATTCATTTAATAAAAAAACATGTTTGGGCTTTGTTTTAGCCCTACTTGTGTGTTTGTGCTTTAAAAAATGATGTTGCCTTTATAATTGTTATCAAGTGTGTAAAAAAGAAAAAAAGAAACATCATCCTATGCTTGACATACAATAACTGTTCCAAATCATCTTGTTTTAAAGAAAATTCTGATTTCTCCTGAACTAAATAATGCAAGTGTTGAATTAAATGACTAAAAATAATACAAGCATTATATTCACACAGGACTGAATCTCTCATGCTCTTTTGTATTGATACCTACTTTTATCATAGATTATTTCTTTTAAAGTAGAAATGTAAAACCCTCATTAGGTCATTGTGCCCGATTAGGTCATTGTGACCATTCTCTGCTAATGCAGAATTGTTACAGTATATTCTCAAGGATTTTGTTCAGTCATCTGTAAAGAGGTTGGATGCCATTATGCTAGCTAGGTGGATTCCTTTCTCATTTACCAGCCCGATTGCCCGATTAGGTCATTGTGACCATTCTCTGCTAATGCAGAATTGTTACAGTATATTCTCAAGGATTTCATCTGTAAAGAGGTTGGATGCCATTATGCTAGCTAGGTGGATTCCTTTCTCATTTACCAAAAAATAAGATGGAATTATTTTCCATTCAGCTAAAAGTGAGGTATTTATTGTAATTTGCTTGGAAGTATTTCCTGGATTTCCAGGCAGCTGCTGTCACGTTCCTACTTGTCAAATCACAAAAATTCAATCACCGATCTTCAAAAAATGTTCGCTCTTACTGTTTAGCCTTTAAAATGGATAGATTTTTTTGTTAATTGAAGTTCAACAGAGAGCACGGTAGCTGTAATTGATTACATATGGAAAAATATGTCCTCTGTATAGACAGTGTCCTATACTGTCTATAGCCAATGATTTTAGTTAAGAAGCTAAGTAGTACTTGAACACAATTTTAGTATAGTGCTTTTTAAGTTCACAGTATACACATTATAGGAAAAATGTGAAGAAAGGCAAAGATGATCTGCTTTTTATGACATTCATCCTGCTCAGTCCAGATGTTTTCAAAATAAATGACAATTAAAGTCTTGTTGCTGTGGCATCAGCAACACGTGAAAAAATATGAGGAAATCACACTTCTACCATTCTTCAAAGTCAAAAGCTTCTCCCATTGAATTCACTGTTAGCAGGAGGCCCTTGCAGAAGCTGGGGGACTTGTTTTACTGTATGACCATATTCAGCAGCAACACGGAGTGTTCCACAGGTTTCAATGCTGATGGTCTAACTTTTATGTTCTGGTGACTTATGCGGTGATGGGAGGTGGGAAGGCAAGGCTTTGCATCAGAATAGTCAGGAACATAGGATTAGAAAAGATTGCCATGCCCCTTCCAATCACTGTGGACATCCATACAATAAATATTTAGTTGGACATTCTTAAAGAACATCTACTCCATAAGTTCCACAAGATTATTCCCAGTATGCAATAACAAACCTAAAAGATCAAAAGCCAAAATTGTACTCACTATAGGAAAACAACAGCAGAGACTGAGGTCAGCAAGATGTACTAAAATCTTTGCATTTATATGATGTCATTTCTATGCAATGCAGAAATGGACCAAACTAAGCCACAGGTGAGGGCAAAAAAGACTCCCAATGGTTCCTGCCAGTCTGACCAGGTTGGAAAATGTTGCCTCCTAGCTGCTAGTCATTAGAGGGAGTTTAACTCTGAGTGTGCAAACAGGACACCAGTTAAGCACTTGAGAAGATATAATGCCTTTAGCATCATCACCAGGTCCTCCGTCTGCTTTCTCTAAGTGGAACTAGCCTTCAGTATTAGCAAGTAAGGTAAACCTTGTCCTTCTCCCTACCTCCTCCCTGCAATTAAATTTATGATTTGGAGAAAAAAAAAAGTCCTTCCTATTTGTTGTGTCAGGTAACTGCAGAACATAGTGCAAACGAACACCGATTTGTTCTTTTTTCAAGCCTGGGAAGTTTTTAAGGAGAGTTCCTGAACAGTACATACCAGCGGTGGCTAGATTATTTTTCAAAATGCAGAACGTGACCCAGTAGTGTTGCTCTGCAGCTGCAAAAACAGTATCGCAAAGTTGGGCATCATCTAAGAGGGTTTATCAGGAAACAACCAGACAGATGAGGACCTATTTAGTTGGGATCTGGTGAACTAGCTGGATTAAATTAAGGAAGAGAGAATACTGGAGCAGTAATGGCTATACTGATGACAGGCCTGGAAGTTAATGCAATTTTGTCAACTTCTGACATTTTATTGATTCCTATACGGCATATTTAATTTAAAGCTGTGGTTTCTGGATACTGTCTGGAGGCAAGTCATTCTATGAGTTCTTCATTTTTTGCCTTAAATAATTCAGTTTCTCACCTTCATGGGTGCAGAAAAAAAAGCAGGCAAGCATGACTTAAATGCGTGTTAAAAGTTTAAAGAAAGGCTTTTAAAATACTCTTTGGATTTTTGGACCAGTCCCATTACTGCTTGGCAAGTTTTACTTGTTTTTTGACATTTAACATTGGTGACAAACATCTGACCTCACTGCAGAGGTTGGTACTGGTTTCGTGCAGAATATATAGCCCTGTAGTTCATAGTATGCATAACTATTTGTAGTATGGTTCTAATTTTCAGAAATCTGTTGAGCACTTAGTAGCACACAGCTGTATCTGAGATCAAAGCTGAGCCTTTGGCTTGTGACAAAAGTAGAATTCAGTCTTTGTAGCAGGAAGTTCCTGAGCTGATCACATGTCAAGAGGGCAGGAAAATGCAGTGGGTAACAGTTAGAGTGTTATATTAAAGGTAATTTTTATTTGGCACACTGTGAGCAATACAGTAATTGGTGACTTACAAAGACATTGTGAAGAAAATAACATCTTTCATTATGCAAGGCCTCTTTGAAGAAAGGGCTTTGATGATTCCAGTGGGATGGAAAGGAGGTGGTTTATGTTTAGTCTAGTGCTTTATCCGATATAGAAGAATAAATTACCAGTTTTCAACATAGATGAATATTTACAGGGATATATACTAAGGATAGCTATTGTTTGATGTAATTAATAGTCATAACTGGGTGAACAAGATGGAAGAGGATTCTGAAAATGGCACAAATTATTTGGCTTTGTTAAGAGAAAAGATGACAGAAATCTAAAAACAAAATGAAAGAATGGCACAATGGGAGGCAAAATTCAGTAGTGACAGATGCTAATTTGCATTGGAAAGAGTTGTTTGAATTGCTAATAAATATTGCTGAGTTCTATTTGTTAATAATATCAAAGCAGAGCTATAGTCAATGAAAACACATGTAATATAGCTAGAGCTGCATTGCACAATTAACCTGTCGAACGCAATGACACAAGATATGATTTAACCCTGAGTCTAGAAGGAATCAAGAAAGGCTCAATGATGAGTACGTAATCAATTACACATTTCGTGGAATGTTAATATCCACTTGTATCCAGTAGAGTGCCTATGTGAATTGCTAACTTATGGGGAAAAGGAAGTTTCCATAGATAGGTATTTTCTACTCTGATGTTTCATACAGATACAGACAATTTTCTGAGACTGTGGAATGGGCAAGTCATTGTGCTGATCTAGTATAATAATTTTAAGTAAAAGACAACAAACCTACTTCTATTCATATTGGCATGTAGGAAATCAGTAAGTTATTTTGATTTTTTTGAGCAGTGCTGTCAAATACATTTGAGTAGATTAATGATGAGAGGGAAGATAAAATTGAAAGATTACAAAATGTATCGCAAAAATGCACAAATAGATTAATTTACGAATACGATAAGAAACCCCTAGTAGAGAAGGGGTCCTGTGTAAATACATTTGTATTTTCTCTCCAAATTAAAATAAAAAAATTGAAAAGACAGGACTATTAACTATTTGTGTGTATGCAGAGTCTTATAGTTTTCAATTGCTAGTAGGACCCTGTGCCTTAGTAATTGATTCACTATGGAGTATTTTAGGAGGTTAAGAATTATGTTGTCCAACCCACAAATTAGTAGGGTAGAGCAATGTTATATGTGATTTTTGCTTTTACAGTTATCTTAACTTAGTATATATTCTTAATGTCATATCCTTTCCATCCTAACTAGAATACGTCTTGATCACTGACTTACACCGTTTGTGTGTTTGTTTTGTTTTCCAGTTTAAAAGAATGCTCAACCGGGAGCTAACTCACCTATCTGAAATGAGCAGGTCAGGCAATCAGGTCTCAGAATATATATCGAACACGTTCTTAGGTAAGACTGTGATGGGAGTTAACTTTTTTGCCTTTTGTTTTGTTTATCTCTCTCTGGGCTGTGACAGAGCTTAAAAGCAAGTAGTTTTCCATATTAATTTCTATTTTCAGAAACTGTACATTTAGTATTGTATTGTTCAGTGTTTGAGCAGAGATCATGTTAGATCCATTTCCTCACAGCTCATTTAGTTTGTGTATGTGGTTTTCCTGTGCGTGTAGTTACAGATAAATATTCATATACATATTTTCATGTAACATTACAACTACTATATTGCTACCATATTAAGAAATGAATATATAATAAGTATCTCATATATTTAAAAGAATTCTTCCACTGTGTTTCCCTTATGGACAGAATGAAAGTTACTACAAAGAGGTTTCAGTGTGCTGGAAGCACACAAGCACAATTAACCTCATAAAATCTTGTAGCACAGTTCTGATGCTTTGGTATTCCCTGCCCGTGCATGAGAGGGTTGATGAATATGGCTAAGTCAATATCTGAACAGACTACTTCCAGGAGAATTTGTGTGGCTCAAGAGCTTGCATGGTGGGATGTGAGCATTAAAAAAGCCTGACACAATATTACATAGAATATGGTTCGTCCTCTATGGCTTTGCAGGAGGAAGTATATATTTTTTTTTGCTAAAAATGGTGAAAACTAATAAAACTTGGTTCCATACTGTTGATTTTGAACATGAAGATAAAGATAATATACCAATCTCAAACATGTTTTGAGCAAAACACCATTGGTTCATAAATACTGTGCATATAAGGGGAGGCACAGCTGAGTATATCTCAATTAGGATAACAAGTACTTTAAAAAGTGCCAGTCACACGTTAAGATACATCTTGTTTTATTTGTGTGAGATACCATAGCTGGGGCTTTTTGTGTTTTTTGAAAGAAGTGGGTTTTTTAAATACATTTTATCCTGCTTGTCACCATATCCTAAATGGATCACTTAATGTCTGTTCAGTTTACCCATGATTGCAGTAGTGTGCCTGAGAGCTGTGGCACAACAGGGTTTCAGACAATAAGAAAGTGATGAGCCTCTGTTATGGAGAAGCAATATTGCACAGTTTCAGGAGCCCTGAAAGTCACAGTGTACAGTTGCCTGAGAAGATGCCCCACTTAGGCTAACTGAAAAGACTGATACATCAGTTTCTGCTTGCTTTTACTTGAAAACTTAAGGCTCATTTTGACAGGGTAAGGAAATGCATCTGTCAGCGTTTCATGAGACCTCAGTCTTGAGCAGAAAGAGTACTGGAAAGGCAATCACTTCTAAGTTGGGTATTCTTTTGTGGCTGCATGTAAATGAAAACCTAGGATACTTTAAAATGTAGGTATAAGAGGAATACAACAGGAGGAAAACAGAGAAAAACACATCAGCTACAGAAATATTGCTTAAATATTTTAAAAATATTCAGTTTAAGTATATAGATTCTTAGCAACAATGTGAAGAAGGAAAACATTGTCTCCATAGAAAATTTTAATGAATCTAATTAATTAATTATTTTAAAAATACATAACCTATCTCCTGAACATCTACAGACTTTCTCACATTTGAAAGTTAGGAATGTGTAATGAAAAAACAGGTTTTTACTGTTGTTGTTCAAAAAAAGATGGACTGTTTTCCCAAATAGGGCTACATGACATGTATGAAGTTATTCATAATGACAAATATATTCCTTGTGTAAGAATTAAGGCTCCTACATTGAGTATGATAATATGTAAGGTTTTTATTTTTCAGTGTAATTAACCTGTTTTCCTATGAACAGAAAATGTAAGAGAACCCGTCAATGAGTATAGCATAACCAGGATCAAAATGGCAAGCTGTCTTTTCTACATGTTCAGATGGGCCCAGGATCCTTTGCCCTGTGTGCTTGTAGTTATAAAAGCACAGGCAATCCCGTGGAATTCCTTTGGAGATCTAAAGTCATTCAGACAGACACTTCCTTTCACTTGAGTTAGTCTGACAGCTCAGCTTATGAACCTCCCTTTGATGTGTCTAAACTTTGTGCATATGACCAAAACCATAAACATCAAAGCACGAACATGAGTCACTGCTCCTCATCTGTTGTTGGTTTGCACCAGTTAAGAGCTGCAGCACTCCTCCTCCCCCTTTTTTGATTGTCTGTATGAGGAGAGTGGTGAAGTATGGTGGGGGCAATTGGGGAACTCAGTGCTGCAGACTGAAGCTTGGTGACATTTCCACAGTCTCTTCTTTGCTGTGATTTGTTTGGAATTTGAGGTGTCCAGTAAATGCAGGCTGCTAAAGGGTAATTAAAAAAAGAAATGAAAAAAGAAGAAAGTGAAGAAGCAACCACAATAACATTGTAGGAATTAGGAATGGACTTGCTACCCTTGTCTGGTTTCAATGTCTTTATTGAAAATTACCATTGCAGGAAGGAAAAAATGGACATATATTTTCAAGAGCCCCATTTTTTTTTTGTTATTTCTTTTGTTCTAAGGTGGTTTTAAATAATCATTTTTGCTAGGCTTCTATGTTAGAAACATCTGTTCTGGATTCTCCTGGTTTTACTGGAAGATTTCTTGAGGACTAGAAAAGGTGCAGGTGTATTTCAGCAGAGAAGAGATAATTTGGAGTGAGTCATTAAAACTCTGTTTAAAAATGGTATGAATAGAATGAACAAAAATTAATGCAAATTCCTAGCAATTTTGGCAGGAGACTCCTTTGTTGCACTAACTTGCATTTCTTTGGGGACCATAGATGTCTGCAGTGCTCCACACCCCCATACTGTTTCTGCAGCAATCATCTGGCAATGGCCTAAATATACTTTACTCTCAGTTTAATACTTGTCTGTATTGTTAGAAGGTTTTGCTGGCACATATGTTGATGCGGTATATGAAGTGATGCCACTGATACTGCTATGGAGGCAAAAGCCTACAGGAAAATGTTGTTTTTTAGCAAAACAGTCCTTTTGTCAGTGTTAATTACTCTGATTAGGAGGTGCAGAAAAGAACTGCTGGCGTGAACTGCCTCTATCTACATACAAAGTGTTTGTTGATATGGCTCCACTGGCAAAAGTCTTTCTGAGTTGTGCAGAGTCTTAACACAAACAGGACCAGTCCCCAAGTATTAGGTCCTTTGAGTCCTGAAATGTTTTGTAAAGGTTTACATGAGATACCGTTTTGATTTTTTTAGAACTACAATTTCAGAGAGTATTTTTCCTGGAAAAGAAGAAATTTAAAATTTTCTTAAGAATGAAAGTTTAGATTTCTTTTCAGTTGTAGTAACATTTTTTAAATGAAAGGATTAACCCTATCTGCAGTGCTAGGGGTGCAGGAAAAGTGGAAATCAGACAGTCACAAGTCACATTTAAAGCCAGTTCAGAAATAAAGAGGCAATTTGTGAAATAGAAATCTGCTTATATTGAGGTATAGGTTTATGTTTATCTTTCCATGTTTTTACTGCTCTTGATATGAAATATCTGTTGCAAAATCTCAAACATAAAAATAAAAAAAAAAGTTTTTTTAAGAATTACAATATCCATAATACAGAACTCAACAGCAAAGTGGACAAAAATATTTGTAACTCCTTTCAAAACTATTCTTTTTTTCTTTATTCTTTTGAAGACAAACAACATGAAGTTGAAATCCCTTCTCCAACGCAGAAAGAGAAAGAGAAAAAGAAGAGGCCAATGTCCCAGATCAGTGGAGTCAAAAAGCTGATGCACAGCTCCAGCCTAACTAATTCCAGTATTCCCAGATTTGGAGTTAAAACAGACCAAGAAGATATTCTTGCCAAGGTAAAGAATATATAAATCCTTGAATTTAAACCATTGAATTAAAATAAAGGGTGGATTTGTCAGTATTATTCCATCCCCTGCTTATAACCATTGATTTCCATCTGTAGCACCAAAGGCTTGTCTCACTTGAAATAGTATAAATTTGGTGAAGTGGAAGAATAACAAGTAAAATCAGAATCAGGCTATAAGGGTTAATTTCCATGTGAACAGGATTTCATCTGGAGATGGAATGTAAATTAGCATTTGTGTCTGCATTAATAAAGCTGCTTATTCGTAAATAATATGTGAGGAATGAAGAGTAAACATACCATATACTGTCACAGGAATGAAAATACATAGCAGCCCTGTGTGTTCTGAAAAAGCACAACTGGTGTATTGCATTAGAGCTATCCCTCCAGGTCCTGTCTTTAGCAGTATCATTTTACGTAGATCATTTGTGGTTTTGTTTGTAGTGACGTTTCCTATGATTCTTGCACCAGCAGCTAACTAGTTGGCAATAATCTAAAACTGGCATAAAGTGATTATTTATTCAATTTTAGATTTTTGCATTTTGAAATATGTCTATCCTTATGTTTTTGGGAATCTCCCCCTTTATTTTAAGAGTCTGTTTCTGAGAACCAGGGAGACAGCAGCAGAACCACAGAATCTCTCTCTGGAGGTTTCCTCCTCGCTGAACTCTGCTGTCACTGGGCACTGAGATAGCAAAGTGCATCAGTTCAGCTCATTCAAGATACTGTAGCATTTTTCCCTCTGGAGCAATCCACTTAAAAGAGGCACTCTT